TAGGAAACCCAAGTTGCTTTCCATCCAAACTGGGGACCTAATGGAAAGGGAACTGAGGGAATACAACTTGGAAGACGAGACTTTGAGAATAAGTAGGAGACCAAAGGAGGAGCCAACCCAACTGAAGAACTGGAGACCTGATTCCTCGGTGTGCCTTCCTGCAGCCCAACGAAGAACTCGACCCTTAGACTCAGAGGGTTCTAGTAAGATTATCTAGTACAGCTTGCATTGGTAGAGGGGCGAGATCTCAAAATCATGACAAGTTGAGCCACTCTAGGAAGGCTTTTCTTCCTGATCCATGTCTGTTGGCCCACCTCCCTCTAGGTCTCTCTGACTTGTGAGAGGTAGGTGTACGTGTGTGTATGCCTGTTTGGAAACCTTTGAAAGCAAGCGTCCCATCTCCCTCATATCGAGATACTAAAATAGTCCAGTTTTCCTCGAACCAGTCCTCCTCTACCATTTATCCTCAGACTGTCACATGGAAGCTGATAATGGTGGATCCCATGGTAGGCAGAGACTGCTGGAACACCCTTCATCACAGGAGTCCCGTTCTGGCTGACAGCGTTGGGAAAAATGAAGGGAATAACAAACATGAGAGGAAAGTGGGATTACCTCCTGTGCTGGAAGTTGTAAAGCCAAAATCAACAAGCAGATGCCTGCTTTTTAGCTCACAATGCTGTTTTTCCCATGAATCTTTTAAGTCAACTAACTACACAATCTAGCAAGGAGCTCTGGTAGTGTAGTGGTTACGAATCAGGCTGCTAACCTCAAGGTCGGTAGTTCAAAACTACGAGCGGTTCTGCAGGAGACGGATGAGGCGTTCTGCTCCTGTAAAGATTTACAGCCTTGGAAACCCTGTGCAGGGTCACTATGAGTCGGAACTGACTCCACGGCACATAACAACAATAACAAACACAATCTAGCATTTGATCGTGACCTCTCCTGCTTGGTTTACTATTGTCTGCAGAGTCTTGAATCCCCAGATTCTGGATTCCTTCTCTGCTTTCCCCTTCCTTTGTCTTCTCTAATATATCTAGGATGAGGACTAAGGTGCACTTGACCCAAACCATGCTATTTTCAATAGCTGCATATGCATGTGAAAGCTGGACAATTAATAAAGACGACTGTAGAAGAATCGATACATTTGCGTTATGGTATTGGAGAAGAATATTAAAAGTACCATGGACTACCAGAACAGCGAACAAATCTGTGCTGAAAGAAGTACAGCTAGAATGCTCCTTAGAAGCCAAGATGGTGAAGACTGTGTTATCAGGAGGGGCCAGTCCCTGAAGAAGGATGTCATGCTTGGTAAGTAGAGGGTCAGTGGAAAAGAGGAAGTTTCCCAATGAGATGGATTGGCACAGTGGCAGCAGCAATGGGCTCAAGTGTAATAATAATTGTGAGGCTAGTGCAAGTCTGGCCAGTGCTTAGTTCGGTTGTGCATACGGTTGTTATGAGTCAGAACTAACATGATGACACCCAACAACAGTATATCTAGGATAGGCTAATGCTAGATTTATCAATAAGCTTCTGCATGGTAAAACTGGCAGTGGGGAAAAAGCTATTGGTCTTTTTCCTTCGGGTATGACCGATGATTCAGGAGCAGGGACTCAATGGTTCCCAAACCTGGCTCATCCTCAGTCCCTCCATAACCTACTAGGAATCTGCATTTTTATGACCTCTGCCAGTGATAGCCTCACCAATCCTCACACACAGAAGGAGGAGGAACCCTTGATGAACTTCTGCATTTACGGAGCAGTTTTGTTTGTAGCTTCTTTGAAGAAGTGACCGTTTAATTCGACCTCCTTCAAGCCTTTATTATTAAATTAATGTCCTACAGATCCCACTGAAGTTCTAATCTCTCCGATTTCTCAGAAGTCAGAGAATCTTGGTTCACTTCTTATGCTTCCCCCTAAAAGAATGGAGGCTCATCTGGGGCAAGGACTCTACATTTCAGCTCCTGATTAAGGGAAGAAACTCAAGAAAAATTTGTTGGCCAACTAGGAGATAAATCCTTAAAAGTAATCTGGTTTAAGAGTAAATACCAGGTAGAGTCAATTGGTTCAGAATCTTGTCAGTGGCAAATTAACTTTCCTATGTCTCAGTTTTTTCAAGGATGAATGAAATAATACCTTAAAAAGTACCTTAAGCAGAATTGAGTATTAAACCCAACCCAAGCCACTGCCACTGAGTCTATTCCGACTCATAATGATCCTGGGTAGAGCTTCCGTGGCTATCTCCTGCAGAGCAGCTGTTGGGTTTGAACTGCCGACCTGTGGTTAACAGTCCAGTGCTTATCCTGTAGCACCACCAGGGCACTTAGTCAATGTTAGCTCATATCATTTTTATTCAGAATGCCACAATATTTGCACATTCTCCAGTCCATAACTGCCCTATCAACAGGCTGTCACTGGTCCACATGGTCAAGAGTAGTTATATGGTGTGGAGAGTAGCTTACAGAGATAAACCTGGTTCCATTCCAAGAGATGCAAATGACTCAAGATATGTCTACAGTACCAAAGTCTAGCCATATGTATGGAGTTTCCCAGGGAGTATGATCCCTTTGGTACTCTGCAGACCTGAGGCACCTTCACCAGGAGGACCTATCTAGGAGAACTAACCAGCAACCTTAAGTCCTGCTTCTAATTCCACTAGATGCGCAAGATCAACTACACAGCCTATGTGGCTGGAATATGAACTATTTGCACTCTGAAGAAAGCAAGCTGAAAAAACACACTGGGTGCCAAAGACAAAGTACTGACCTGTCTTTGAGGTGATACAATGGAAAGACCAAAGGTTTTGTAAGCAGACTGACTTGAGCTCTAACTCTAGAGCAGCTATATAGAAATGGGGCAAAGGTAGCTAGGAGGGGGAGCGAGAACAACATCTCACTAGATTGTTGTGACAGTTGACAAGGGCAGTGGGAGAGAAAGGACTGAGCACACGGTCACCCAGCAAGCACTCAGCTAGTGCTGGTTTCCTTTGTCCTTAACAGAGTCCAGGTGGGTGACCCTCAGAACTGAAAACCTAGGATGCGGAAATCTTGGGTCCCTTCTTACCTCCCCACATCCCTCCCAGACCACCTCCTGAAGCCCCTCCTCACCTTCCCAGACCGAGATTGCTAAATCGATGAAGCTAAGAGTTTTGATCATGTCGGTATATTTATATGTAAATACAAAACTGTATCACTGTAAGGTACTGAATATGAACATTTACAATTATTTCTGAATCTGACTCAGTCCATTGATGTTAAATACAAAATGAAAAGATTGTAAAAATAAGAATATACACATTCAAAGAGCTTATTACAGTATAAAATTATTGAGGTCTCATCAGCTGCCAACCTCATCTTCTGTGATGGGGGGAAAAGGTTTAGGGATTCCTGGCATTTTCTTGGGAATGTGGAGTGCTGGGGACTCTTGATTCCATCCCGGCACATCAGGCTGAGTGGACAGGGAGCAAGCAGGGTGGGTTGGGTGGGTAGGAAGCAAACAGTGATTAGAGGGGGCCGCCTTACCCAGCCAGGGGTTCAGTCTTTCATTAGCACAGAAACCAACCAACTCAAGGTCAAGGGTCTGGCAGGCTAGTAGGTAGGGAGAGATGGGGCACGTTCCATAAGGAAAGGAACCCTCCAGCAAAAGAAAAAGGGGACCCAGTGCCAATTCTCAGAGTGGTATCCACTCTCAGGCCTGGGCTCTCCTCCCCTCTTCCTTCTGAGACTTCGTACCGATTGCTTTTGGCTCTGTCTGCTTAGTGAGCTCAGCTCTGCCTCCAGACCCCATCTCTAAGGGGTAGTGAGAGGGAAGAGAAGGTCTGCAGTCACAGTGGAGGTCTGTTCCCAAAAATGTCAAAGTAAACAGAGAAAAATCATTAGATACGGGCAATCCATGATGAATTATGCCAGTGTTATCACAAACCCATATTCTTGGCTTCAACACACAGTATCCTAAAGGGAGATAAAAAGCAGTTGCCATTGAGTCGATTCCGACTCATGCATGTCCAAACTCATGGTTGAGTTTGCATGTCAGAGTAGAGTTGCACTCCAAAGGTTTTTCAAGGGCTGATTTTTTCAGAAGCAGATCGCCAGGCCTTTCTTCCAATGCACCTCTGGGTAAACTGGAACCTCCAACCTTTCGGTTAGCTGAGCGTGTCAACCATTTGCACCACACCCAGGGACTTCAGAAGGAGATACATCATTACTTAAGGACAAAGGCTTGTGGCAGGAGCACGAAGAGGAGATGTGTATGTGTCCTCTTCTACAACTTGGTGGTCTGACAACAGGAGACAGGATCCCCAGCCCCAGCTACTCCAGGAGAAACAGCAGGGTCCAAGAAGCAAGCAGACCTGAACTGCAACACGAAGCCCCATGAACTTCTACAAAGGAGTATCTGTGGGTATATGTATTTATAGAGTACGACCATATTATCACATACAATATATATGATGTCCACACGTACACAGAAGTGCACATACACACACACGCACACACACAGAATGACAGAAAAGACTGCAATACACGCCCTAGCTATAAACGTGCTTGGCACTCAGGATGTCCTCCAGAATATGTAACTTGGTCAAGCTCTCTTGGGAGGAAGGAGGATGTTCACCAAACCTCCCGATCAAATCCTAGCAAAGAGAAGGAGTGGGAGAGAGGAGAACCCAAGAAGAATGCCATTAGGAAGGGGAATGGGGGGTTCTTTCCCCACTTACCTCAGGGGCCCTGGCAAAAATCAATAGCCACAATTTGGTTTTAATAAGGCACAGTTCGATAGCAGGCGCTAGGAATGAAGAACACAATGCTGCTGGCCCATTCTAGTGGCAATTTCACCACATCTATCTAGCCAAAGGGAAATGTTGCCTTGCGTGCACATGTGTGCCAGGATACACGAGAATGAGGTTGGTCCATGGCGTCAGCGTAACTGATGGCAACCTATAGACTCAGCAGTGTCCAGGGTAGTTTAAAGAAGGCTGGCCAGCAGGTAGGAGGCTCCTGACAGTTACTAACCCTCCATGGCTAGCAGGCTGTGGCTGGAGGGCACCATGCCCTCCCTCTCTGCAAACTCCAGGATGGCCTTGTAGCAAAAATAGTACTGCTCAGGGGTCTGGATGCTGAAGGCCCTCTGGGTCCTCATGCGGGACACCGTCTGGAACACATTAAGGGTGCCAAGCTCTTCCAGCTGTGCCAGGCAGATGTCCAGGGAGCAGAAGGTACCTGAGGGAAGGAAGGAAGTGGTCATACCTGGTTTACTTCTCCTCTTTCCCTCCCCTCTACCAAATAACCAAAGGCTGACTGGATGAATTAATTCAAAGGCAAGGTGTCTCTTGGCAGGAGGTCAGCTTGCCTTAGGCCTGAAAAGGGAGAGGAGGTAACAAGGAGTGTTTGAGGCCAGAGAAATCAGAAGGTCTCTTTTCTCTCAGGACACACATGAGGGTTAAGGCAGAGTAAGTGAAAAAGTGACTTAGTAGAACTTCCTGCTACAATCCCAGACAGTCAGACAACATTCCAAAACCTACTCCCACTCCCAGCCCAAACTGCCAGAGACTTGAACTTATCTCTGGAGGCCTAGCACAGATCTGTTCTTCCTGACTTTCTCCAAGGGACCTCTGAACTGCGGACAGCTTTCCCTGCAACACACATCCTCTAAAGGTCCACCCACTCGCTACCATTATGCCAATTCCAACTCACAGGGAGACTGTAAATCTTTATAGAAGCAGACAGCTTTGTCCTTCTCCCAGAGTGGCTGGTGAGTTTGAACCACTGACTTTGAGGTTAGCAGCCTCACTGTGTAACTCACTATGCCACGAGGGCTCTTTAAAAGGCCTTAAGGAGGGTTTTTTGGTTTTTTCAGAGCAATTCACCACCCATGGACCACATGAGTACTTTCTTGCAAACTGGCAACTCTCACAGATGTGGTCTAAGAGCCTGACTTCCCGTGGCTGCACTAGGCATTGGTTACCTGTCCTGCCAATGCCCGCACTGCAGTGGACCACAATGGGTGGCTCAGGGGATAGCCCTTTGGAGCGGGCCCCCATGCTGCTGATGGCCAGCCTCTGTTGGTTCCTGACCACTCTCAAGAAGTCAATGAGGGAGGCTGCCGAGGAAGGGACGCCATAATCTGGCCAGCTCAGGAACTGGAAGTGGGTCACCTGGCGCTTCTGCCGCTCCTTGGAGGAAAAAAAGGAGCAGAAGTGAATGTGCTCACTTCTGACTGCCCTGGGAACTTTGGCTTTTCCAGAGTCTCAACACCCTGGTACCCCCATGCTCCCAAGCCTCCCACCTATCAGTACCACCTTCCAATTTTCTCCACAATTGTTTCCCGACTACAAACCCAGAATTGCCCTCACCCAAACGAAGGGTTAAATGTCCAGAAAGGGAAGAATGAAAAATACTGTAGAATCCAGATTCTTAGGCTATTAGCGTTATTCCTAAGTAATGCCACTGTGATGTTGAGCCAACATGACTAATTGGCTCTGAGGTGAATATCCTGATCCTGTTCCCAGAAAAATGGCAGCAATTTATCATAATCTCCCTGGAATCTTGCCTATTCCCTGTGGAAGTTTTCTTTACAGTAAAAATTTCTCCTCCAGCTTCAAAAACAGGAGACAACAGAAACCTGGATTTACCTCTGCGTTGTGAATTTCTAGGATGGTTTTCTTATAATGGCTCATGTTCTCCACACCTAGATTGGTCACTGTGAGGAAGCCAAATCGGATCCGAGAGTCTTTTTCTAGCGGCCAATACTGACCGCACTTTCTCCTGCCGCCCTCCTCAAAGCTGAAGACACAGAGAGCAAGGTAAGCCTTCCATCCACTCTCTCCCTAGCAGTAACCCACTCCCCCCACCCACAGCCTGCTGGACCCCTAGGCAGCATTGATTGAGTCTGTCTGACTTATAACCTTGCTTCTTGACAGGCAAAAAAGAAAGGAAAACTCTTCTTTCTAAGCATAGGAGACAATTACTACAATTCCTGCATGTACTCATTTAGCAGACTTTTACTGAGCATTTACTATTGTCCTTTGCTTCCCCCCTTTCCTAAGATCTCATGGTACTCCTCGCATATCTGGGATAATATCAGGCATTTAAAAAAAGACAGGGTAGGTCTGAGAGAACTCTCTGGCCAGTACGTCAGCTACTGTCCATTCTCTTCCCCAATCAGGGCCCTTGGCTGATAGAAGAGGAGGAAAGACATGGCTCCTGGGAGGCCAGTGGGAGGTTTTGGTAAGGGCCTACAGTCCACCTCTCCACTCTGCAGTGGTTCCCAAGTACTCCAGGTGGAACGTCTCCCACTATCTCCTGTCCAAATCACAGGGGTTGTAGAACAATGCCCTGGAGAAGGGAACTGAGCAAACATCGTCTTCATTAATTTTTTTCCTCGTCTGAAACAAGGTATAATTATCATGGTAATGACAATACTAATAAAATAGGTAATTCCTTAAGTTTTGGCAGATATATACACTAAAATTAATATATATATGTACATTCCTTTTATCAATAGCTTTCTTCCTGATCTAACTGCTACGTTAGAAACAGTTTTGAAGTTCTGCTACAAGTGGAAATTTGAATGAGTAGAAAAGTAGCCGAAAGTGGGTTACGGAGGAGAGAAATAAATGGGGATGTGGTAACCAGAAGCCAGGAAAACAGCTGCTTTCTGGAGATAAAGGCCAGAATCTAGGTGAATTGCCCGTTTTCCAGCCCATCCTTCAGTGGACAAGGCCAGGACCACAGAGTCAGCTGTAAGTGACACAGAGGTCACTGGAGCCATGGGTTCAATCTCTGACAAATGAGATCTATCAGTCTCCACCAGACTCCCAGCCATGGTACCCAGGGTCAGTTAAGAAACAGCATAAAGAATCTCAACCTTTTTACCAGGTCTTTCCTAACCCTCATTGTTACTCAGAAGATGAAAGCTAAACTCCCCTCTTGAAACACTCATGCTTTATGACAGGTTAGGGTGGAGGGTCAATGGGAAAATGGGCATCGACTCACCGGGTAGTCATGACAATCACCAGAACTTTTTGCTCCCAGACCATCAGCCAGAAGTCACGGTAGGTGTTCTCCAAGGGGCCTGCAATGAAAGGAGAAGACAAGAAATGTGACCTTGGGAAGTACTTCTTACGGTCTTTTTTTGTTCCCCATATTACTGACTCCAAAGCACAGATGTTGGCTCCCTGCTCTTCACTCTGCATCCCTGCTATTCTGCATGATCCTTAGACCAACAGAGAAAAATGCAGAAGGTGCATTTTAACAAGTCCCCATGTTAGTTGCAGGTACATTATAGCTTAAGCAGCACTGGTACGTGCCCTCTCAGTCTTCTCTCATCAGGCCATCAGCTGGCACAGCCAGACTGAGTGTTTACATGTCTCTATTTTCAATAAGTTCATATGCATGTGAGTTATGGTGTTGGAGGAGAACATTAAAAGTGCCACTGGCTGCCAAAAGAACCAACAGCTCTGTATTGGAAGAAGTGCAGCCAGAATGCTCCTTGGAGGCCAGGATGGCCAAACTTCGTCTTTCATACTTAGAACATATTGTCAGGAGGGACCAGTCGCTGGAGAAGGATATCATGTTGGTGAAGTGGAGGATCAGAGAAAAAGAGGAAGACCCCCAACGAGAGATGGATTAGCCAAGTAGCAGCATCTTTGGACTCAAGTGTGGCAATAATAGTGAGGCTGGCCAGATCGGGCAGTGTTTCGTTCTGCTGTGCATAAGGTCACTATGAGTTGATACCTACTCGATGGCACCTAACAACAACAACAATCTGGTTTCATCTCACCTAAGCTTCAAGAGACCTGGTGAGGTGCTGTGGGTTAATGTGCTGGACTGCAAAGTCGGTCTGAACTGCAAGGTCAGCACTTCCAGTTCACCATTCGCTCCTCGGAAACCCTCTACAGGGTTGTTATGGGTTCGAACCTACTCGACAGTACTGAACAACAAGAAGTTTCAGCCTCATCAGTCTCACTGTTGCTGTTAAGGGCTGTCAGGTCGGTTCTGACACATACGGAAACCTGTATGGAATCTCTTTTTTTTTTTAAGCTTTTTATTGTGAATTGAGTGAAGGTTTACAGACAAGATCATCAACTTTACATTCAACAAATTATATGCTTTGTTTCATCTCAATGATTACAATTCTCTCCCTGAAACAACAGTTATCTTACTTGTCTTCCCTTTACATCTTATATTTCACAAATAAACAAAACAAAAAATATACATTCATTCAACAAAAATTATATATTAATTTAAATGTCCTAAGGACATATCCTCCTGCCCACAGGCTCACAGCCTTACTTAGGCCATGGGTCTAGAGCCCACAGCTGCCATCCCCTCTGCCACTCAGACTCTTCCTTCTTGATGGTCCTGGGCCTATGGTTTCTAAGGCTGCAAATCTTTGTGGGAGCAGAAAGCCTCATCCTTCTTCCCTAGAGCGACTGGTGGGCTTAAACCGCTGACCTTGTGGTTCACAGTCCAGTGCTTATCCTACAGAGCCACTGTGCTCCTAGTTGCCTATTAAAGCCATCCCTCTTTCATATGCCATTCCTTTCAACTTCCATTTCTGTCACTAAGTCCCAAAGATTTTTTGCCCGTTTTGGCCTCTTCTCAATTTCACTGCCACCTGTGAGTCCAGGACCACATCATCTTTTGACTGAGTCACTGTAGCACCATCTTAGTTTATTATTTTAAAAAGATCTCTTCACTCCTACTCTACACTGGATGTTCCAACCAATTTAATATTAAAGAAAGAACGGCCTCATCAGATTGTAAACATGCCATGCTCACCTCTGCCTCTATTCCTCTGCTCATGCTCTCTCATACTTCCAAGGCTGTTCATTTTCTCCCCATCCTCAAATGCTGCTTCCTCCTGGATGCTGTCTCTGACCGCTACACTCTGAGCTCCTGATGGTCCAGATGGATCCAAACACCTCCATCATTTTATTTACGTGGCTTTACTTTACTTTGTGGGAATTTACTTTATGTGGTCACTTTACTTTGTGGGCATTAGTCAGGTCTCAGCAACCACAGTCCTGAGGGTAAGGACTATGCTGAGAGGCACTCCCTGTATAGCTCCGAGCCTACACAGGTCTGGGCACTCAGTAGGGATTTTGAAGGTATTTTTAGGCCAACAACTCCCTTTCAATCTAAAAAAAAAAAAAATCTGATAATTTAGTTAAACTGTCCATCAAAAATGACTCCAAGTCATGGCAACCCCATGTGTTAAAGGAGAATTGCTCCATTCTAAGAGGGGATTTTTTTTTTTTTTTTAAATGGCCTGCTGTTCCACACCCACAGTCTGCCTGTGAATTATGTGATAGTTTACATGGGAGAACATTAGTTTTACATTCTATCCTGTATCGTTTCATTGCCATTCTTGGAGGTGATTTTTACAGATGCAGATTACTGGGCTTTTCTTCCATGGTGCCACTGGGTGGGTTCGAGCCATCAGTATTTAGGTTAGTTGTTGTTAAGTGCCTTCGAGTCAGTTCCAACTCATAGTGACCCTGTATTGGGTTTCCAAAGAGCAGCTGGTGAATTTGAACCACTGACCTTAATGTTCAAATGGACCTTACAGTCTAGTGCCTATCCTACAGGGCCATACCACGATTCCCAGATTAGAAGTCCAACACAAACCATCTGCAACAATCAGGGCCCTTCCTTCTCAACCAAAATCATCAGAGCTCAGGATCATTCCTTGTACTTTCCCATAGCTTTCTGACTTCAAGGAGTAGCAAGGTTTGATTTTTGCCTGAAAAGCCACTATGCTTCATCTACTGGTTCCACAATCATTTTGCTGGTGGTTCAAACTCACCAGCTGCTCCCTGGAAACTGTGTGTTGTTGTTAAGTGCTGTTGAGTCAGTTCCGACTCACAGTGACCCTGTATGGGGTTTTCATAGAGCAGCTGGTGTATCTGCGGTTCAAACTGACTTGGTGGTCCGGTTCATTATTCCACAGAGCCACACCAGGACACCTGGAGACCCTATACAGGGTCGGTATGAGTTGGAACTGACTCAAGGCACTTAACAACAACAGCGGGACTTTATGATACTGGATTTCTCTCTTTGCAGAATACAAATATGTGAGCTCTTAGAAAGAAACGAAATGATTTAACAAGAGAGGGCTGTTGTTGTTGCTATTGTTAAGTGCGATTGAGTCGATTCCGACCCACAGCAACCCTGTATAGGGTTTCCAAGGAACAGGTGGTGAGCTTGAACCACAGACCTTGCAGTTCAAACGACTCTGAGGTCTGACACATTAGCCTACAGTGCCACACCAGGACTCCTAGAGTTATTCAATTATGCCATACCCAGGATCTAAGCAGTTCATAAAGAAAACATAAGATCTGTATTTTCTGCTATGGAAAGGTAGTCACAAAATACCATTACATGAAAATGATAATGTACCATTAGAGAGGTCCTGGCGTGATGCTGTAGGATAAGCACTGGACTACTAACCTCAAGGTTGGCAGTTCAAATCCACCAGCCACTCCTTGGAATCCCTATACAGCAAGGAGGTGGCGGGGAGAACATCTGGCCCAAGGGCCATACAAGGCCTTCAGAATCATTTGGTCTGGCCCTGCCAAGGTAACCACAGTTCCAGCCACCACATTATTGTTGTTAAGTGCCGTCGAGTTGGTTTCAACGTAAAGCAATCCAGTATAGGGTTTCCAAGAACTGGTATGTTTGAACCACCTATCCAATGGTTCAAACTGACTTTGCAATCCAGTGCACATCAGGACTGCAGCCATCACACTAGGGGTGAGTTAATTAAATGTTTGACCAAATATGGTGGTGGTGGTTTTGTGCTGTGGCGTCAGTTTTGACTCATAACGGCCCTGTATAGAGTTTCTGAGGCTATAAATCTTTACGTGAGCAGAAAACCTCATTTTTCTCCGGCTAGTGACTGGTAGATTTGAACTGCTGACCTTGCAGTTAGCAGCTCAGCTTGTAATCCACTATGCTACCAAAAAATCAGCAGGCTAAGTTTTAAGTTGCTAATTTTGTATGGTACGCAAATGATGCTAAGAAATTTTAGCAGAATAAAAGTTTCCCCCCTCTGATATATGGGATTACTGTAAATCAGAACTGTCTCGATGGTACTTAACAATCTATATGTTGGAGTCATGGTGTGGTACTGTAGGATAAGCACTGGCCTGCTAATCACAGGTTGGTGGTTCAAATTCATCAATTGCTCCTCTGAAACCCAATACAGGGTCACTATGAGTCAGAACAAATTCAATGACACTTAACAACAAATCTACATGTATGTATGTAAACAAAAAGGTCTAGGCACATGCTAACTTTATTGGAGGGAAGACAATACACAGTTAAGAGGGAGACTGACCAAAAGAACGATGGAGGCATGGGAAGACATGGGGAGGACTGCAAGAGTTAAAGGCAATAGTGGTAAATACTGTTATATACACATCCCTAAGAAACCCTGTACAGGGTCGCTATGGGTCAGAATTGACTTGACAGCACTTAACAACAACAAAAGATAGATCTATAGAGGAAACAACACTACTGAGATACACAAACCACAGAATGGTCCACCAATCGAGATCAAAAGGGCAGTACTTACCCAAGGACAAACGTCACAAGGGTGGGGAGACAATGAATGGAAACCAGCAGCACAGGGAGCAAGTGGGCTAAGTGACGTCACACTGAGGGGACTGCAGTCAGTGAGAAGAAATGGAGTGCCTGGTTTGTTGGATGTAATACACTTAACCTGTTACATAAACCTTCACTCAATGTACAATAAAAAGGCTTTTAAAAAAAGAAAAAGTCTAAGAGGAGATGCTACAGAAAGTTACTATTATCTTTCTCCTAGAATGTGGTGCTTTTAACCCTCATTTTCCAAACTTTCGATAATAGACACACATCACCCCTGTATGTATTATGAAGAAGATACCAGCATCTTTTCCCCGCCTCTGCTCCCCACCTAGTCTGATCTCACTGCACTACAGCAGCGTTCATATCCTTTACTTTCCACATTCAAACCACTGGCAGGACTGTGGATGCTGCACAGTCAAGAACACCTGATAACCCAGATGCCACTCAGACTCAGGCTCTTCA